TCCCAGCATCTGACAGTGGACTTGATACATTCTCAAACGTTTCGCCTGCATCGTAGTCGGCATCATCAGTCAGTTTTGCCATTCGCCGCACCAAGCTACGAACTTGTCAAAGAGATATATTCATTCTATTTCGTCTAAGGTGATAAGGCGACTAGTAGTTGCATTTTCTCACGAGGATATGAGTAGACATGACATGTCCATTGCATCTCGCACAGCCTTGCTTTCCAAAAAGTTATTATCATTCAAGCGTAAATGAATTGCAGTTTGGCCTCGCCTAGACAGGTCTCATCAGCCGCCACGAGCGGGACTCGAACTATGACTATGCAGTGTGTAGTTTTGACAGGTTAACCACCACGCCACATTGCAACGGGCGCTCTCGGGGCATAGTGCGGATGTGAATTTCATTTTCCCATATCACATTCTGGGGTGGAATTGTCTATAAAGAAAAGTTGTATTTGTATGGCACTCGATTACGATACATATTTTTCATTTATTTATCTCTGAAATGTGTTATAAGGTAATAAGGGGAGTAGCAGAAAACTGGACTGTGATCTTGGGAAAATTTCTTCGTCATGAAATAGGCAGAACACATCTCATCTATCTGATTTGCTGGTGGTCTATTGGTCGAAGGTAGATCCCATCAGAAGACGACGGCGATGGAAACCTTTTTTTGACGCCATTTGTTAGGCAATCTCATTCGATTTCGGTGAAAACGTGCTAAACATTTGTCCATCGTACGACGGACATCATCAGAGCAGGATATCATCCTTACAGCCGCATTCAGGATAATAAGTCAAGAAAATTCGTCGGTTTGAATATGGTTGTAAGGATGATACCCCATCCTGACTATGTCCGTCATACAATGGACGAAAGTTTAGCTCGTTTTCACCGAAATCGAAGGAGATTGCCTCGCGAACATCAGCAACAATAATGTTCCAGCAAAGCCAATTGGCAGCTGATAAAGAGGAATTGAGCATCATCTTCTGGTGGGATCCATCTTCGAATCTCTTCATCAACCATTCTGACTCAAAATGAAAGTAAGCTCAATATTTATGAAATAATAAATCCATCGAAACTCATCCTATCTTCGAATGTTTCAGTAAATCCAGCCTAGAGCTGATCGGCAGGAAGCCGCTCTAGAATCTTTTCATTAAACACTTAAACTAGAAATTCAAGTGAGTTAAAAACTTATAAATCAAGAGCTTTCTTTAAACTAAACTTTTCCTGGTTAGAGAAAGGAATCTTGTATTTAGACATGTCATCCTTTCACAAAACACTTAAACTGCCTAATTCAAGCTTACCCTCAGACTGGTTCTTTGTCTGAAAAACCGAGCCTAAAGCTTTTGCTGTCAAGTCTCAAGCTGACTTTTTCGGCTGCCAACTTTGGGCTCTTGCATTCTACCGAGGTTTCTATGTCGCATCATCCTGTTGCCCAGGCAACTGAGGTGACAACGTAGCATGAAGCAACCTAAATTTTATACTGTCTTCCCCTTTCAATACCATTTTATTACTTAATTGAAGATTCCCCTCCGACGGACTCTTCGCCAGGAAAGTTGAATCTAAATCTTTTGTTGCCAAGTCTCAAGCTGATATTTTCAGCGGCCCACTTTGTTGCCTTGGCATCGAATGAGGCTCACACGCCACGTCAGTCCGTCGTCAAAGCGACAGCCAACTTGGTCGCTGGACAGATGTTGGCCCAACTTGAGGCCAGGCCTGTTTCGTGGTGTCGGACTGCCGGTCCCAACGAGGCCTTGTCCCGTACCGGTTGGCAGTCGCGACTGCAGGATTTGACGCATGTGAGCCGTCGACGTCTGCTTCGAGTCGCCCTCAGAGACCGTGTCTTCGGACGATCTCGTCTCTCGGCTCGTCTTGAGGCGGCTTTGGAGGCCGGAGCCTCCGGCGCCCACTTTCCGGTTCATGTTATTGGCGATACCTTCTCCGGGAAGACGACATGTCTGGCCGAACTGGCTCTGCTCCCGCTTCATCAGACCCCTCCTTATCCCCCGCCTCCTCTCCCCCCGCGGCCCTCCTGTCCGCCCACTCAGACGCCACAGACTCTTGCCTCATCGGCTGCCTCCTCCCTCTCCCCTCCATCGGGTCAGGCGTGCCGTTGCTTCGGTTGTCATGCGAAGCGGCAGCTCGTATGGTTGGTCACTGTCATCTCCTGCAGAGATCTGCTACTCGTCGACGATCGGTTGCCAAGTACAAGTCTTGAAGCCGCAATCTGTCACTCACTTTCCATGCAGGCCGACCGATTTGGCCTGGCCGAACTGAAGACCGACCGACTTTCCGAAGCCTTCGACAGGCTGTCCCGAGTCTCTGTATACCCTCGGGCCCTAGCAACCACAGGCCAGCCCTCGAGGGAGTCGTCTGTCGTTTGGCTCATCCTCCTCGACGATGTAGATGTGCTCGCCTCGTCTCAACACCACCGGCAGCTCGACAATCTGCTGGCCACAGTCCTACCGCCTCGAGTCAATCTCGTTGTTAGCCTGACGAGCCGTGGCTACCGATCGCCTGGCAACTGGTTGTCTCGGCTCGACGACTCGGGGCTTCTGGTGTCTTGCGCGTCCGGCTGGATACCGCTGGTGCCGGGCGATTTGTCCGCAGCCGGCCATCTTTTGCCTGCTATAGACGAATTGTCGTCGAGTGAGGGATGGGAGGTCAGTGACAGGAGAACCGCAATCAACGCTCTCAGAAACGGTCTTCTCTGGCACAGGCTTTCTCCGGAGGCGGTTGGCGACGAGGCGAAACCACTGCTGTTCGGGCTAGAGAGCCTCTGGTTGATCCATTTGGCTTTGGGTCGTCATGTCATCACGAGGCAGGTCACCGTATCCAATGCAGCATTGTTGGATGTTGGGTCTTGGTATTGCTTATTTTCTTCTCGGTCGCCAAGACCTTGTTCATGCATACTTGCACCTTCTATCTACCAGTTTTATGTCGGCCATTGTCATCGACTTCAAATGAGTGCACTCAAGTGAATTGGCAATGCAATCAGCAGTCATACTAATACGAATGCTACTACTATTTCTACAGCTATTACAACAACAACAACAACTACTACTACTACTACTACCAATAATAATAATAATAATAAAGATGAGGATGGCAAACAGTAATAATAATAACATTATTGGGGAGACTTGCATTTCGAGTGAAATAGATTCATAGGTCAATCTGATCAGAAGACAACGGCTGATTCGCGTTGAACTTCAGCCGTTTGGCTTTAAAACGACGTTCAAGTTGACGCAGTCCACGAGACATCCTTCCTCAGTTCGATTAAACACGGGCTGAACTTTCCTTCGTC